GAAGCTCCCATAGTTATATTGATATTTTGCAGCTGTCAACAACATTCCCTGGGGGTGTGAAGCTAACTGATGGCACTGCTCTGTCTGAAGATGTTACTCAAGTTACTTATTCTGAGCTGATCTGTGCTGTAAAAAAGAAGTTGAAGTTGCCGATATGATACATACCGTATTTTCCGCACTATAGGGCTCTCTGGATTATCAGACACACTGTCATTAAATGGTCTATGGTTCAGTTGTGGCGTGTAGGGAGGGTGCTGTCTGGGATCGCTGGATTGTTGGCGTGTTCGCAGTGACTCAGTTGTTCAGTTGTGGCTCAGAGTGGCACATTGCACTAGTTTTTTCGGTTTGTTCCTCTGTTCCGTTCCTCATCCGTGTGGAGTGATGAGTGTGTCTGTGGGTGTGTTTTTCGCTGCATGGTCGCTGTCTGCTCCGTGCGTGTTTGTGTGCGCTGCGGGTGGTGCGGCTTTGTAGTTTACTGAAGTCGTGCTGGGACACTCGAGTGGATTCGTGTATAGTGCGCTCTGGATTGTGGGGCGCACAGTCGTTTTTTTATGGGGTTGGAGGCTTAAGAGCGCGCCCAATAGCCCAGAAAATACGGCATCTTGATACTAGGGATGTAAAGATATCCAAATCACACGATACAATATTATCATGATATGCCTCTCACGGCATGATAAGTATTGTGATATTTTAGAGAGGTTAACAGAATTCTACATATGCTATTTTTCCTTTTTAAATACCTTGACCAGTCTTCAGTGTGAATCATTACTGTCATATTCCAAAGAAATAAGATTTAAAAGTGCTTAATGACAGTTATTTTATTATGTACTAGTAAGTAAGTACGTAAAGGATCATTGCCTATGCAGTTCCCTCTTTTTTAATACTGAAAAACTTGAAGAAAAACCTGAAAAACCTTACAGTATCACAATATATCAGTTATTGTTACATCTTTGCTCAATACAGTGCACTTTCAATTCAATACGATATATTTCAAATTGATTTGATACGATTCAGTAAAATATAAAAGATAAATCATGGCTGTGATACTAAAAGTCTTTGTTAAACCACTTCTTGTGCAAAGTTCATAAGAAACACAAACATTTTAATCATCAAAACAGTGAAAATGTCAAATGTGTCGCATAAATGATTTTCTTTCCTCTAAACAAGCAACAAAACTGTAGCGCTGAAAATAATTTAGTAAAATATACTAGAAAATACTTTTGGCGATATATTGATACAGCAGCCCATGATATCGATACTGTATTAGCACATTAAGCGAAACGATATATCGATATTGAAAATCAAATTCCTCAACTCTCGTATTGATCACAGACTCCTGAAAATGTGTTGTTTAAATCCTTTTTGTGTTTTTTCTTGAGTTTTTAGACAATCTTAAATTTTTTTTGACAATGTTTGCTTATGTGTGCCTTGTGTCACCACGGTAACTCCTAAACATTCCACCATTAGATATACACGTGGAACACCCCCAGCGTGACCAGATCATGACATCATCGAATTCTACAATGTCAATGCAACCTATTCATAACGAGATAAATTCCCAACTGTAATGCACGTTTTATTGCTACTTTTCAGTGATATCATGCAGGGGTGTTCTGCATGTATGTCTATGGAGGAATGTTTAGCATTTACTATGATTACACAATGCACACATTACCAAACATAGCCTGATAAGTGGGGGTGAAACGATATCAGAGTCTCATGATATGATATCGTCACGGTATGATATTTATTGTGATATTGTGGGAAAGCTCACGATTAGGGATGTAAACGTATCCAAATCTCTCGGTACGATATTTTCACGATGTACATCTCACGGTACGATATTTATTGCGATATTTTGTGGAGGATTACAAAACGGTTAATATGCTGCTTTTTCCTCTTAAAATGTCTTAACAAGACTTAATCCAAAGAACTAAGTCTAGTCTAGTTTACACTGAAATGGAGCAAAGGATCATGGAACTACATAGACCATGATCCTTTGCTCCATTTCAGTGTAGATTACAAGAAGAAATAACAGTTCTAAGCACTTTTTTTAGCTACTGCTGCACCATAAGTTTTAATTCAAGCAAAGAGACTTGTAATTCGATATACTCTGCTGGTCCAAGATATTAATGTGAGAACTTTGACGATACAATATCACAATATTTTGGTTATTGTTTACATCCCTGCTGATAAGGTTTAAATATAGTCTGAAAACTCAAAGGAAAAACACACAGTGCATTTCATAAGCACATTTTCAGAAGGCTGTGATCAATACGAGCGTTCATGGCCTTGTTGAAGCTATTGAGTTTTTTCAACAACAAGGTGAGTGACTAACTGAAAAACTCTTCAAACTGTAATCTTATTTGAGACGGGGTACAAATCTGCTCACCTTTTCTTGCGTACTTCTAACCAAGTCAGTTCTTTAGGGTCAACGTTGTGTTAAAACAAAGCTTAAATTAAAGGGTAATGATGAAAAAAATAAGGCTCGGGATATTTTGGAGATCATTTTACAGCGGCACAGCGGCTGATTCTGGGTTAGACTCCTGGGCCTTTCTGTGTGGAGTTTGCATGTTCTCCCCGTGTCTCTGTGGGTTTAGCGCTCCGGTTTCTCCCCCATCAACCCAAAACATGCACAATAGGTCAAATCCTCCAGGTAAGATAGTCCTGACCAAGACCAGCTCAAGATCTGGAGATGGTCCGACCGCTCCTGACAGGTTTAACCCAGAGACACTGAAGGATGGGTCAAACGCAGAAGATTAAATTTAGGGACAGGTGCCGAAAATAGTCGAGCCAGCCTGGTAAGCCGTCCATAACATTGGCACATGGTTTGGGAATTGAACCAGTGACCCTCTCTCTGTGAGGTGAGCGTGAAATCTCAAGGTCAGTGTGATTGAGAGCAGTCAAATGAAACTCTGACCGATGCCAGAGGATCCAGACAACAAAATGAGTTTAGATACAAGAGGAGATGAGAAGAGAGAGGAGAGAAAGACACGCAGAAAGAGAGAGAGAGAGGAGGGGAGGAGAGAGGAGTTGGTGTTGAAGGACAGAGTGAGAGCTCTTCTCTGTCTGCAGCTCTTCATTACTGACACATCTCAAACTCCAGACTGTACAGATCCATTTCACCTGCTCTGTCACTGCCACTAATACTACAGGAGAGTACTGCTACTATTGTCCAGCTAGTGTTGCCAAAAGTATTGAAAATCAGATACTTATCGATACTAAAACTATTGAAACTACCGTAGATACACATTTGAGCAAGTATCAGTACTAAAAATTCACATGCACAGGTCTTGAGCTGTTTCAGAACAAGTATAAAAGCACATAGACTAGTATATACCCATGGACCACTATGGAACCTACCTGGACCACTGAGGGATTACTGCATGTGCCTCCAACCTCATCAAAAAACGACTGCGCGCCCCGCAATTCAGAGCGCCCTATACGCGAATCCACTCGGGCGTCCCAGCACGAAAAACACCCGCAGCCACACTCGTCACTCCACGCGGACAAGGAACGGAACGGAGGAACTAACCGAAAAAGCGAGTGCAATGTGCCACTTCTAGCCACAACTGAACGACTGAGTCACTGCGAACACGCCGACAATCCGTTGGTCCCAGACAGCACCCTCCCTACACGCCACAACTGAACAAAGCCCTGAGTCACCGTGAACGCCACAAACAAAGTCCCACTGACCCATCCAACTGTTGTGTTTCGTTTGAAGTCCTGTGCGGTTTATTTGTGAAAATAGTGAGGAAGATAAGGTACACATATAAGACCACATGGGAATAGAAAAAAAAAGCTTGGGTAGCTCGGGAGCCACCAGTAGCTCTCCGCCTCCTTCCAAGTAGCTCACCAAAGAATTTCTAAATTATAAGTTTTGTGCTGAATAACTAAAAGTTGATGAGTAGAATGACTGTTAAAATTGTAAATGTTACTTTCCTTTGTGCACTAATAAATGGATAATGGTTTATGTTTTACAGGCCTCTAACAGTTCCGATGGAAGGCCGTGGCTCTTATAATTACTCATTACTCAATTTCTTGTGGCCACTATACTGGTCTAAAGAACCTGTTTTTAATTACCATTGTAGTACTAGAATCGATACGAGTATTGACAGCGACTTCAGAAAGTGGGACCATTATTCAACCCCAAGACATGATCGTTGTCAGCTGAAAGAACTTTAAGTCATAAGATGAATATATAGTATAATATAATATATATTTTTTACTTTCTATCATGTTTTAACATTGTTTCCTCATCAAAAATATGCGTGAAGAGTTGGGGTGTGCAAAAATATCAAAATATCGATATATCGTATTGTTGAATATGATGAAACAGTATCAATATCATGGGCTGCTGTATCGATATATCGCAAGAGAAAATGTGCTTTGTGTTGAATTTTTTATGAAAAGCGCTCTGTAAATGAAGTTTGATGATTTTTTTGGTATATTTTACTAAATTATTTTGTTACAGAGCTACAGTTTTGTTGCTTGTTCAGAGGAAAGAAACTCATTTATGCGACACATTTGAGATTTTCACCCTTTTGAGAATTTAAAATGGTGTGTTTCATATTAACTTTGCACAAGAAGTGGTTTAATAAAGACTTTTAGTATCACAGCCATGATTTAGCCTTTATTTTTATTGAATCGTATCAAATCGATTTGAAATGTATCGAGACATGTATCGTATCCTATGTATCGAGGTATGTATCGTATCAACAACTTCTTAATGTTGCCCAGCCGTTTTAGATTTAGGTTTAAGTAATCTGGCGATCTATTCCGGATCATATTGAAACCCTCCTTACATTTACATTTACACGAGAATTCTCCATAAATATACAAAAACATGACACAAAACTGCACACGACAACTTGACAAACCTGATGCGATGTGCAGTGGTTTTCATTAGCAGGATACAGACCGATTGTGTTGTGATAGGGCTCTGAAGTAAAGTACCCGCTCAAAGTATCAATAATTTCCCTCTCTGTCTCTCTCTTCAGGTTCTCTGGGCACCGCGGGGCGTGTGTGTAACCGGACGTCCCGCGGCGTGGAGGGCTGTGATGTCATGTGCTGCGGGCGGGGCTACGACACGGCCAGGGTTCGACTCCGGTCCAAATGCGAGTGCAAGTTTCACTGGTGCTGCTCTGTGCTGTGCCAAGACTGTGACCGCGAGGAGGACCTGCACTTCTGTAAGGGACACACGTGACACGAAACTGAAACACGCCAAAATATATACAGAGACATGCACAGTGAAGATGGACCAGCCACAAACACAACACTGAATCCAAACCAACCTGTACACGCCAAATGTACAGAAATATAGGGCTGGTAAAAGTATAGAACATCAGACATTTGTTTCAGTACTAGTTTTAGTATCGTTTAGATACTCATTTGATCAAGTATCTTTACTGAAAAAGTCACATTCATTGGGGTCTGTGTACCATTTGTTCTTTTGAATTTCAATGAAGAATGAAAAACAATAAAATAGGAAAATAAGTTTATTTCATCATTCCGTTTTAGTGTCAATAAAAAAAACAGTCTCAGTGCCTATTTTAATTTTGATATTTTATTCTCTCTGGTTTATTTGCCCCAGAAGTTCTGCTGCTCAGTGCACCACGTGTGAATTCAGTGCCAATTGAACAAAGGACAGTTTATCGCTGCTTCCAGTTTCTCATCAGAGACAAAAGTAAACGTGTCTCTTTAAAAGAGGACACGTTTTTCCTCAAAATTGCAACGATTTTTCCTTCTAGCAGCAGAACTTTCGCAGCATGTACAACAGGCATGTCCAAACTATGGCCTGTGGGCCAAATGCGGCTCTCAGACACATTTTTCTTGGCCTTCAGGCTTTCAGGAGAATTGGCCCGAATTACCTTGCATCAATGAAAAATTTACTTTTTATTGCAAGTTTTTTTTAAATTGACCTTGATAGAGCCAATATTTATAATTTAGCGTGTGGTTTTGAGAATCTTGGCGTGAATAAAGGACTGATGGCTCATTCTAATGTGTTAAACATGCACATATTTCAATTATTCACTGTACTGAGCACCAGTCTACGGCCCTCGATCAGCCCTCTGCTTCGTCTGTGTTTGGATATGTGGCCCTTGATGAAAAAAGTTTGGACACCCCTGATGTTAAACAGAAAAACAGATTTTGACCTCTATTTCCAATATTAAATTTTTCAAAGTTTATTTCACATAACACCATCAAAAAACATCATCATCATGCCTATTTTCTTCTGATATCTTATTCTCTCTGGTTTATTTGCCCTGGAAGTTCTGCAGCTAGAAGGAAAAATCACAGCAATTTTGAGGAAAAACATGTCCTCTTCTTTTAAAGCGACACGTTTACATTCAGGACTTAAAAAACAATTGTTGAACTCTATGACGAGAAACAGGAAACAGAGATAAACTCTCCTTTGTTCAGTTGACACTGAATTCACCCACGGTCCTAAGCAGCAGAACTTCCAACCCAAATAAACCAGAGAAAATAAAATATCAAAATTGAAATAGGCACAATGACGGTTTTTTGATTGGGGTTATGTGAATAAATAAATAAACTTTAAATCAAATATTGGAAATGGAGTTCGAAATCTTTTTTTTTTTTTTTAAGTTTGTAACCAAAACGGAATAATGAAATAAACTGTTTTTTTGTTCTTAATTGAAATTCAACCTTTCCTGAATCGCTTCAGAATGATCTTGAGCTGTCCTACTTAGACCTTTGAGGGATTACACCACATGGTAAGACCACATGGGAATAGAAAAGAAAGTACTATGATTTAATGCTGAAAATCACATTCTGTTGTCTAAAGAAAGTTTATCGTCACTGTGGGATCAGAATTGGTATTATGTATCGAGTCTATTCCTTAGTATCAAAATTTAGTTGTACATTTTAGTATTGTGGCAACACTGCATCAATATTCCCCCAAAATACTGTGAACTGCCAGGGCCGATTGCATCTGATTATAGATTCAAAACTTACCAGTCGAGAAAGAGTGAGAGATGGAGAGAGGAGAGAAAGTGGGAGAGGACCTGCTCGTCTGTAAGGAACACACATGGCATAAAGCTAAAATACACCAAAATATGCAGCAATATTTTACTTGTATATTACTCAAGTAGAAATGCAAAATAGTGGTCCAAGAAATTACTCAAGAGTAAAAAAAAGTATTTGGAAAAAGTACTACTCAATGCAAAAAATCTGGTGTTTTCAAAAGGATGGACACCAAAATGAGAAACTAAATGATATCTGAAGGAGCTGCAAGAAACACAAATGTTCAAGTCATTTCATATTGTCAGAGTTTTTGTCACTTGTAGACTTCCTCAGTGAAAAGAGGAACCACAACTTGTTACTTCTAGTTGAGTAATATTTGTACTGAAGTAAAAGTATGCTTAAGTATGAGCAAAACAAACCAGAACTGGTTCATTCTAAAGACTTTGCAGTGGTCCAAAGTTCTTTCTCACTTACCTTCTGCATTCTGAGCATTCGGATTATTCATCATGATGAGTTTATAAGTGTTTTTCACAACTTTCAGAGACCAGAGTGGAAAAAGAGTTTAATTCAAAGCTGATCTGCTGCACATCCTAGATTTGTATTGCACCTACTTTTGTAGTGAACAGTTCTTCTGAATGAATATATCTGTATTTATTGCCTGTAATCTGCAGAAAGTATCACTGTGTAGATGATCCACTGTCAGTCATGTACATATGTGTTTTAGTCATTAGTTTGTTGTTCACTGGATTATGGTTCATGTAAATAATGTAAAAAATGTTTCCACCCTTTTCAAATGATTAAATAAACACATTTAAAATGACAATTGTTCTGTGTCAGTCAATATCTCTTATGCGAGTACTGAGTTACTGAGCATTATTCATCCACTGCACTTGGTGGTGGTAAGTTAATATTGTAGTCACAACTGCCCTGGGGCAGACTCACAGAAGTGACGCTGCTAATCTGCACCATCAGCCCCTCCGACCATGACCAGTACTCCACATCCACACACCACATTCATGCTGGGCAATATAGGGGAAGTGCCCAAAGAGGTATGGCCATAGGGGTATAAGAAAAAATCAATTCAGTGATACATCGTGATACTTCATTGCATGATTCTTTAAGATCATGTTTTTCATGAAAAATCCATAAGTTCCATTTACAGTTTTTGTGATTTAAAAGTTGTATTGAATGAAACCTTATTTCATTCTTTTTTCTCATGAAGGTGTACTTGACCATAATATTATATGTAATTATTGATAAATCACAATATAAGATCCTTTGTTTTTGTATCGGGATGTATCGTGATATATTGACTTGTGGCAGGTGTATCGTGATGTGTATCGTATCAACAGAATCATGGTAATGCAGATCCCTATATGGCCACATTTTAAACTGCAAAAGTTCTGCATCTGAAATGTAGAATAAAAAAAATGGAACTCTTTTTACCAAGTTCTAAGTTAAATTTACCAGAATTTTAACTTAAAATTTGGATGAAACAATATATCTTCCATATTCCGATCCCAAAATGACTTGAACAGAATAATCTTGGCAGGATGCTCTCGTCTCACTCCTGGGGCTGCTAGTGTTGACTGAATTTTTACTTTTTCATAACTTCGAATAAAGCTCAGAGACGTGGTAAATGCAGCGATACACAAAAGTCCTTTATTGTGTTTTTGACGTTTTTTGTACAAACTCCAGCAGCAAATGTCCCTCAAATTCATCCTCCTCTGAAAATCCACCTGACTCTGCGGTCGCACGGTCATTGGCACCGGTTTGAAGCGCTTTAGTCCTGGTCACATCCAGACTGTGGTCCTGGGTGGGATCTTGAGAAAGTCCTGGTTTAGTGTGATCTGGTCCTGGAGACTGTAGTTCTGGTTGAGATCTGGTTTGGTTCCTGGTTTTGGGCGTTTTGGAAATTCTCTGAAAACTTAGGGACTTAACCAGATTTGAAGAAAGTCCAGGTTGAGTTCTTGACTAGTCCTGGTTCAGTTCATGGTTTTGGGCTCAGATTTCTGTCACACAATTATTGGTTAGATTCTTGCGAGTCCTGGTTTAGTTCTGGTCTAGTTCTTCAACAAATCTTGGTTTAGTTCCTGGTTTTCGGACTGGTTTGGAAAATAGTTGTCCACATTATATTTCCTGTAAGATCCAAGATTGGTTCTGATCTGTTTTTTTGAGTAAATCCTGGTTGAGTTCTGGTTTGGTGGACGCAGGTGTGTGTGAGCTGGTCTTGTAGACAGTCCTGACCCAGTTCTTGGTGGAATTCTTGAGTAAATCCTGGTTGAGTTCTGGTTTAGTCCTGGTTTTGGGTCTCAGATGCGTGTGAGCTGGTGCCACAGACTGGAGGGAAGAATGCTCTCCACTTTTTCCATGATGAAGTTGAGAGGAGCGAACAACGTGCTCAGGAACTACAAAACAAGAATGAAAATCTATTAGAACAAGGACCAGATTCACATTTTCGACTCAATGTGATAAATCCAGGTCCAATTTTGCTTTTCTGCATCAAATTAAGAATATAAAAACAGTCCAGTATACACCAGAAGGATATACTACAAAACAAGATAGGTGGCTAAGCTGGTTTAATCAAACTCAAACTTTGGATTTCCTGTATCAGTGGGGTTATATCACCATAGTAACAGAACGTCAGAGCTAACCTGGTCCAAAACAGGATAAGAGCCCGAGTAAAGATTTTGATCAGATCTGTCGCTCTTTGAACAAGCCTGTCTGCACTTATTATTGATCAGTTCTATAGTTAAAGAGTTTGGGCGGTGGGTACACGCTGTGATAAACCTTCTCCTTCACATAGAATCAATTAAGGCTGCCACACACTAAAGGATGTTTTGGTTTTAAACGATTTTTAAAAGTGCGACAAAAAGCGCACACCACAGACACATCAACAACAATCAATCCGTGTTTCATTCATTCACTCGTTTTTCAAACAGGAAGCCAAAAATAAGAAAATGAAAAAACAACTATTTTCTTCATTATTTGTCTGCAAAACCAAAATGAAAAACGGATAATGATTTGTTTTTTCAGTTTTCGATTTCGTGTTTAAATAATAATAAATGGAAAAACCTGATAACGGCCGTTTCCCGTTTCCATGACTTTCACTGCGGTCTCAGTCCCGGTCTCTGTTCTGGTCTGGTCCTAGTCCCAGTCCCGATCACCCAACAGTCTCCGTGGGCACACCTCCAGGCCCACACTGACACTCAGTCCTGG